TTTGTTCATCCTTCTTGTTAACGGAATACTACTGAAAGGTTTTCCATGTCCTTGTACATTAAATGAACTATTGGAACCAGAACTTCATCTTGAATGGGATTAGGATATTAGTTTATAAATTAATATTTTATATATATTATATATATATATATAATATATGAGTATTATATATATATATATATATATTATAATATATATATATATATATATATATATATATATTAAATTTACATATATATATATATATATTAATATATATATATATAATATATATATATATATACTTAATATATATTAATATATATATGTATATATATATATACATATACATAATATGTATCTTCATTTCTTAAATATTGGTTTTAAATAGCAGTACTAGAAGACATAATACGGAATAAGATCAAACATATTCTTACTTACAACTTTTAGGACGATTACGGGTTGGTGCCTGAAGTAAGAACCTGCACTAGAAATTTACGCATTTCGTAATAAAAAATGAAATGAATTAATCCAAATTATCGGTCCTCACGAGTCATTTAGGCAACGTCTGAAGGGAGATCCAAAGCAAGTCTTGATAATCCGAGTCTTTTACATTTTCACATCTCGGGAATCCCCTGCCTGCGTAACACACATACGTGAAATATATTTACAAAGAAAAAATGTTAGCATCTGATCATCGGTACTTTAACTAGCTCATCCGAAATCTACTCAAAATTGAGCCATTTTGTTAATTATTTAGTAATCCCTACTGTTCGTGATGAAAACTCATCAAGATATAAAAAATAGTTTTCATTTTTTCATTTAAACTCTTTAATAGATATTTGCATAGAAATAATAAGCAACATACATAATAACACACATATGTATGTATACATATATATTATTTTGTATTAAGAATCGTTTGCCACACATACTTATAATTATACATATTTATGATTTTGTTTTAAGCATCGTACACATATTTATGTATAATTGCGGACAGTTTTGTTTTGTTTTTAGTTTTTTCTTTAATTTTTTTCTTTTTTTTTACGCCCCCCCCCACCTCACCCCAGTTCCAGAGAGAGGAGGCCGACAAAAGAGAAAGTTGTATTTCATTGTGAAATAAACTAATTAAGTAGACTATACTTGCAATTATTTTGATTTTCCTACACATAAAACCTGATGCATATATGTATATATCAAAAAGATTTTCTTTTTGATATATACTATGAAAACATTAGGCAACAAGGAGTATCGGTTTTGTTTTACTTTACGTTTTTTTTTTTTCCTTTGCTTCCACAACTAAAAAGTAAGTTAAATATATAGATAGAGGTTTTCGTTTTTATTCATTTTAAGTATAATAATTAATCAAAATACGGAACCCCTCAAAAAAACTATTCCACCGGGCCCTCAAATATCTAAATACGGCATTATGTCAATATGCACAGCACGTTTGTTCATAAATATTCGTCTATAGCATTAAAACATATAGAAAATAAAAAAAAAATGTACACAAATGTACTTATTTATGTTTATCATATACATTTATGGGAAACCAATTATGGTTTTATTTTTTTTTTTATGTCATGGTATTCATGCGATTATGGGAAAGACACTCCTGAGTTCAGTTATTAATATGTATTCATAAACATTCGTACAGATTGAACAAAAGGATTTGCAGATTTCAGAGATGACTAGCGATTCACTTGGACTCGTTGGAGTCGTATCTGTATCTGTATTCCCGAGATTCGTCGGAACCAGATTCGAAGGAAGCCTCGCCCTCGTAGTTGACCTCAGCCACGTAGCCGGAGTCGCCGTCCACGAAGTACTTGACGGTCTGCAGGCGGCCGTCGGGGAGCTGCACGTAGTAGGATCCCTGAGTGTGGTCGCCGTCGCGGGCCTCCTGGTGTCCGAACTCGTTGCTTGAAGGGTCGTGATCGACAGCCCAGTTGAAGTCGTACTTGGCCTCACCGGACTCGTACGATTCCTCAGAAGACCTCTGTAAAGGAAGACAGCCTTACAAGTTTGCACACCGTGTAACGTTCGTATTACATTGTTAGTATACCTTATAAATTATCATTCCTAAATATTTGTTTTATTCAGAAGGACTTGACGAGAAGAAAATAGGGAAAACTTACACTTGGAGGCCTGTATTCGTAGGACTCAAAGCTGTCTGCAGCGGCAAAGGCTGCCAGACCGAGGAGGATGAGGACCTGAAATTGGTCAAGTGTTCAGTAAGATTTAACAATTCAGACTAAGAAAATTCTATGATATTGAATATAGTTTGAAATGAGAGCAATAAACAAATGCTAAAAGAAAGCCGGAATTATTGAAAATGATCTTCCACTATTAATCTACAAGTACCTTGGCGTTCATGTTAGTGTATTCAGAAAGGACTGATGCCGGTCCCTCAGCTGCTGACCGTTATATACTACAACCAAACGTGTACGCAACGCAAGGTCACTCAGGAATACAAGTTCTTATCGTGTTTCTGCAACGCTGGGCGAGGCTCCTTTTACCGAAGGATTGCAGAGGACGTATCTCTCGGTCTTTGGTAGTGAATGAGTTTTAAAAGAACATTTTTCTTTTCTTGCTTAGAATAGTATCATATACATTCATATAAAATCTCTCTCTCTCTCTCTCTCTCTCTCTCTCTCTTCTCTCTCTATATATATTATATATATATATATATATATATATATAATATATATTATATATATATACACACACACATATATACATATATATATATATATATAATATATATATAATATATATAATATATAATATATATATATATAATATATATTAATATA